ACAGCCCATGCGCAACTTCCTAAAAAGGATTAATTCCTCTGTTTGAAAAGCTGACATATCTACGAGCAAAGAACAAAAAACTCCCATAAAACCACGAAATAAGCCCATTTCACTGTAGCCGCTCTGTCATTTCCGTTTCACGACGACAATTTCGCGGTAGGCCTGGACTAGTACTGTATTGACACTTTGTCATGCGTCAAGTGAATACATACGACAATAACGTGCTCGACAACACAGCGCGTGTTAGCCAAACATCATCGCTTCTCTCGTCAACCTTTGACTCTTTACGCTTGTGGACGCAAAAGCGGTCCTCGTTACGCTTAGCAACTGCGTAGTAGGGTACTTCAGTTGCCTGTGAGAAGTCGCCGAAAGGTTTCAAATCCAGGGGATAGAAAGGAATTCTTGTTTTCAAGGTTCTACCTTCAAACTCTTGCTGAAAAAAACGTGAGGCAAGGGTTCTCATTATTTTTAATGATAATTGAATGTTGCAAGTGAAAGGGGAGAAATTATAATAATTTATGCAGAATGCACAAGAGTTCCACACAGCTCTAGTACAAAACCTCAAAAATGACCCAGTGGTTAAATGGCTCAAATCCACGAAAGGATTATGAAGGAAGCTCATCGTTATCTATTTGCTCATAAAATCCGATCACGCAAATATCTCTTGAAATATCAGACTTCAAGACAGTCTGTTCTGTGACCTACAGTCTCGCAAACTTTTTCTAAGAAGCAGCGTTCTCTAATCACATCGAATATACACTTTCATGAATAATTATTGTGACGCAACCCCACTGATTAGTACGCCCTAGCACAACGATAAAGAATTAATTACTAGGGCTATCCCGGCATCCATCAAAAACTTCAGAATGCACGCCAATGCTCACATCTGTGCACAGCCGTACTAACTACTTTTTGCCTTCTTTAACATTGAAAAACGGTATCAAAGCGTGACTTTGTAGATAGCAACCCTTTCTACCATTTACACCTCTATTAGTTAGCAATTATTCACAGTCCTTTGGAAGGAATACCCAGGATCTCCAAAATTTT